GAACCTAATGTCACTGAGAGGAGAGATCTGATGCAAAGTTTAGGAAGGAAGTGGCTCTGTTCTTCTGGGCTGGAGACACACAAGGTTTGAGAGTTCTAACAGATCCAAGGTCTTACTTGAGCATGACTGAAACCCACAGAAATGAGGAAAGCCTCTAGAAACCATTCTGCTCAGGGTAATGCTGACCTAGACTTCAAAACAAGGCAGTAGAAGCATCGGGGTTAAGAAATTTAGACGTGTGCCCATGCAGTGTCACTTCTAGATAGATAGGCAGGCATGTAGGTAGGTAGAAAAAGAGATAGGCATACAGACAGACAGACAAATAAATTAGGTAGATATATAGATGAGATAGATAGGTATATGGATGTATATGGCTGTTTGGGGTATACCATTCTCCAATCCTTCAAATTTAACCAAGAAAACAAAAAAGTAAAAGGTATTACTAAGGGTGGGCATTTGAGTTAGGAATGTCTCAAAATGAAAAGGAACCAACCAAACAAAAAGCATTCTATTAATTGGGAAAGTGGTCCAGGCACAATACTTTCAGTTTAGTTCTACAAATGGACCACACTTCTTGCAAGTGGTTTTGCTTGTGCTACTTCCTGGGCTTATAGTGAAAGAAGGGACATGGGTCCACCTAGAGAAAGGTACAGTGACAGAGGGCATTTACCAGTAAGGTGGGAGAAGTGGCATCTCTTCCAGTTTGAGCAGCTTCTTCTCAACCCAAAACTATAGGACAGACAAAACAATCATCCAAACTTCCTCCTGGTTCTTACCTGGGCTCTGGTCACAAAGCACGTCATGATATGTAGTTGGAGAGATAGGTAGATGATAGATAGATAGATAGATAGACAGGTAGATAGATAGATAGACAGGCAGACAGACAGACAGAAAGAGCTTCCCTCCAAGTTCTCTGACTGTCCTCTTTCAATTTAAGTTCCTCCACATTAAACTAGCTCCTACAGGAGCTAAATATGCTAAAACCACACTTCTAAAGCCACCGGAGTCCCAACCCTGCAAAGTGCTTCAACCTGCATTGAGGTCTTCAGTGAACTTGGCCCACGTGTTAGAAGCAAAATTGACAAGGTCAACCTGTATAACTGAATCAAAGGCAAAAGCACAACCACAATAATTTGCTGAGACTTCCCAGACTTCACTCATTTGGCCAGACAGCTAACCCACAGACACAGCCACCCCCGGGGCAGCAGCCTATGGGAGGGGTCACAACTGACAAGGATGCCACGTCACCCCCTGGGTGACCCAACCAGCATCCCATCACAGGGGGCTGCTGGGTGATGAGGCTGAGAATGGCACACTTCAAAAAGTCCAAGTGGACAAACGAGCAGAGAAAGGAGCTGCTGGCCCATGCAACAGACAGCTCTCCGGGTTCAAGACCAACCTCAGCAAAACACTGCTACTACTAACTCCACCTTTCTGAGACTGCCTACCTGTTCTGAGTCCTAGATGTCAGAGAGCTAGAAACAGAGGGGCAGACAGAGCCCAAGGGAAAAAGAGAAAGTGGAAAAGGGGAAAGAAGACAAGGGAGGACATAACCTAAATTCAGGCAGAACCCTCACCATGTAATTCATGACTCTTACCAAGTCATGACACTGAAATAAAGTATCCAAAAAAGCCGAAAGCAAGAGTGTAGCCCCTATATTTTGTCAGGGAATACAACGGGAAAAGAGAACCATTCCAGGTACTACGAACAGAGGGAATATAATGCGGAGAACAGGTGATGGAAAAGCTGAGACACCAAATAGAGTACATGGAGAAAAGTTAAGGTCAGTGACAGGAGGAAGCAGCCGGCACTCTTAGGCTGGAGTGAGGGCGGGGCGGGCAGACTTTCTGTAAAGTTCCAGGTAGTAAGAATTAGGGTCTGCCCCAAGTACTCAACTCTGCCACGTCAGCCAGAGGCAGTGCATACACAAATGAGTGCAGCTGCGTTCCGATCAAACTTTATTTGCAGAAGCAGACACAGGGCTGAATTTTGCACTCAGGCTGAAGTTCAATGACCCCTGGGCTAGAGAGAGAAAAAGAGTGAATGCTAGGATCAGGGTACAGAAAAAAAATGTTGCACTAGGTACAGGGATGTCTTCTACCTTAAACGGCTGACACATAATTGCATGAAACAATGGGTCAGAAGAGGGGCCATGTGAGAATAAATACTTATCTCAGTGCAAATTATCTAAAATGAAGAAAATCCATAACTAAAAGGGCACTGTGGTCACTCATAATACAGTCCCAAATGAAAGGGCAAGGGTGTGGTCTGTATATACGCAGATTTTCTGAATACAATCAGTGACCCATCAATTCCATATTTTATCATCGTGTTTTTATCCCATTAGACTATTTGATGTAAGAGAAGTAACTGCTGTTAATTTTCTATCTCTGTAACTATGATATACATTAGAAAGTGAGAAGTAAGGTTTGGAAACAGATCTATTCACAGAAAAGATTGTGTATAGTAAATATCTAAAAAGAAGTAGTTATCTGCTTCAGGTCCTTTTAAGTAAGATTTTCATTTCTCTCTTTAAAAGCCTCATTAGAAGGAAAACAAAGGCTTTTGTATGAAACCTAAAGCTATTTTTTAAAGGCAATCTCTATGTATTTACTGTATTAAAATCAAGGTCAGTATCAAAATCAAGGAAACGGGGAATTCTCTGGCAGTCCAGTGGTTAGGACTCCGTGCTTTCACTGCCGAGGGTGCAGGTTCAATCCCTGGTTGGGGAACTAAGCCCACGAGAGACCAAAAAAAAAAAGAAAAATTCAGGAAATGCATTAGAAGACAGTCCACAGAGACTCTGCCATTCTGGTCCCTCTAGATGATGCAAAATTATAAACTTATGGGTCTAAGAGCAATTATTTAAATAAAGTTAAGTTATTATAAGAATAAGATTGAGGTGAAAGAGTCAATGACATTTTATAGGTAATATATCACTTAGGGCTAGTGAAATTTTAGATACTCATAGTAAGTAATCTTCCGTATATTAAACTTCTGTTACCTAATTTTTAAATATAATATGGAAATCCTAAAAAAGAAGCTTATAGTTTAAAAATACCAAGATAGGTTGATCAGGGTATTTTAACTACTTACACAGAAGGTTAATCACAGAGTCTATAGATTTTCCACATGACTCATTTTCATAAGCTAAATTAGAAGCTATCTCATGTTTTCCTCCCAAACTGCAAACTCTAAGCAGCAAAATGTCAACCTAACAATTGAAACTCTTCACCAATATATAAATGGCATCTCTCATATAAGATAGCAAGTAGCTTTCAATGACCTATATTCATCTAAGGTTTTACTAAACATTGCATTAGGTTTGGGCATTTAGTCTCTGAGCCCAATGCACTGAAGTCAAAATTCTAGAAACTGCAATGACAGGGAAAAAAGAAGATGACAGTTCCAGGATCCTCTGTTCCTTTCATATTTTTGATAACATTTTTCCTCCCCCTCTTCATTCCTTTGACTGTTCTTCCTAACCTCTCCTGTCATCCCCTAGACTCCCATATTCCCCAAGCTCACAATTTTTCTTTCTAGCCTTTATGTTCTTCCGCAAACTGCCAGTGCTCTTCCACAGGCCGGATGTCCCTAACTAAAGATGGTTATTGATGTACAGTACCAGTGTTTTAGTGCTGCAGCAGAATCAATAAATGAGAAAATACTGCTTTGTCAGGTTTCGCCAGAGCATGCTGGGAAACTTTACCGCTGCGAATGGTTACAGCAACTCTTAATACATGAGAGGGAGAGCCGGGCGCCCTTCTGTGCAGAGAAATGATGTTCTTCTACCCTCTAGTGACTATAAAGGAATAAGACAAAAGCTGGAGGAATTTTTGAGACCACTTCACATGATTATTTATTGCCTCTGAAGTTTATTTCTAAAAAGAACCAGAGTCTTGGAAACCAAGTGAACAGGTAGGATTAAAAAAAAAAAAAAGCACCTTAGCCTGTTTATTTTTAAAGTGCTCAAAAATGCAAAGGATATACATTTTAGGAAGAGTCAGAACTTTGATTCCTCTGGATTTGAGAAAGCAAGGTTTAGAAAGTTTACCTTCTTTCCTAGGAATTAGTCAGGTTACAAATCTCTCCTTCTCTCTCTTTCACATACACACGCTCTTACAAACACACGGAATCTTTGTTTCAATCTCCTTATTTTATAGAGAAGTAAACAACTGCAGTGTGGTGAGGTTAGAAATGAGAGATGGCATATATCTGTGTACACATGTGTGAGTATAAATAAATGCATATACAGAGATTGCCCACGCACCCTCCCCTCATACACGGACACATCACAGCCACCTCCATCTTGGTTATTCCTCTTTTAAAAGCAGTAGACCTGCTAAAGTAAGTTATACATAATATTTTTGGTTTTGTTTACATTTACATTAATTTTGACATTTAGTCACTTAAGTTACAATGTGTTACCTTAATAACCTGATAATAACACATCCCTACCTTGGTACACCTATACTTTTTATAAATTGCACAGAAGTATATAATTGTTTAAAAAGATACTAACAATGTAAAAAAGTCACCAGCATTTCATGGAGAAATCTTTAAAGAAACGCTCACAAAAAAAAAAAAAAAAAGGTAAAATAAAAGTAATATAAAAAAGATTGATAAAATATACCATGTATTCTTCTCAATCTTTTCACTGCCCTTATGACAGTTTCCACCTAATGGTAAATAGCTTTCTAAAGGACTAAATCTAACTGCACTACAACTCCAAATAATTCAAGCTTAATGAAGTGTAACATTCTAACACGGCCGGTACATATAAAATGTCAACACTAAAACAAGCGTAAGTTCAAACATCTGGCTATGCCCTTATTAAACGAAATTTTAAAAGGGAGTTTGCTTCCTTTTTACTCATAACAGCAGTAAGAGGAAAAGAAAGCCTTTCCATGTACAGGTTGGATAATAATCTTGTCTACATTTGTCTTTGCTACAAAGGTGAACCACATGAGGTAAAGAAAAAAAAAACAGCTATATTTACCTTGCTGGCACTTAACTGCTTCCGATTTGACCAACGCTAAGGATTATGTCCATTGAATCGTGAAAAATGGCAAAATAAAAGAGAGAAATAGAGCCGTTAACAACATAATGATGTTACCATGCTAGTTAGATGGTGCAGACTACATTCAAACAACTGACACCCACATTCTGAGGTTTCAGAGAAAACACACTTGAGCAAGAAAATAGTTAGAAACCTAGAAAAATCACATTTCTGTGGTTGTGTTACATCATTTTCTCACAGTATTCAAAAATGAAAAAACAAGGACATAGAATACTGCTCAGTCCTTACAAGTACATTTATGTTTTTATTTGCCTGAAAACACTCTAATTTTACCTCGAAAAGCAATGTGGAAAGGCAGGCTTTTCCTACCTGAAATACCCAGATAGCATTATAAAAATGTTTAAGAAATTCATGGACAAAGTTAGCTCATGTTTAGGTTTCTGTAGTTTTAGATACTAGAAAAAATAATTCCATTGCCCTCTGCTGAGAAAATCTCAATATTCGAAATAATAGGAAAAAACAATCTGAGTCATTTCTTCACAATGAAGAAAAATAGGCTAATGTACCAGTGAGGGAGGGAAGAAAAAAATGTTCTGAACAGCCAGTAACTTCACCACTGTTCTCTTTTGATCTCTCATTTGTCGAGCTAAGACTGCTGAATTTCGTCTACAAGTAAAGTTCTCTCCTAACAAAATCCTCTCATTACTCCTGTCACCGTCCAGTACTGCAAAGCTCTACTCTGGCTGGTTAACCAGCTAACTGGATGTTAAAACTTGGAAAAATTTGGCAGATTACAACTCAATTATGAATCTAATTGAGCAGCCCTTAGTAACTATTATGATTAAGGAAAAAAATGCCTTTAGGCAAATGACCTATCCACATTGCCAGTTAAGTCTCCCCAGGAAATTAGAAACCAGAAAACAAATTGTCTTTGGGGAAAATCCACTTATATTCCAGGGACCAGCAAGTAGAAACGCTGGTACAAAAATGTCTTGAAAATATTCTTCAGGAAAAACACTTTCCCTGGTGAAACTGGAAGCTCAACCACTCAGCATGTGACCCAGAGCTATAGCTACTACAATCTGGGTATTAAAATCAGTTCTTTTTGTATTTTCCCAACAACATATGAACAAATATTTTCACCCAGAACAACCACTAAAATTAATCACCATCTTGTAGGTACACATGGCTATCCCTAAATAGCCTTTTGAAATATAATTCGTTTGATTTTTATATCACCAAAGATTAACAAATAGATGAGGAAACGACTGGAAAATGAGTATTACTGTCTGCTTACTACAGTACTAAGAGCTACCATATATCGGGTGTCTACTCCGTGCTAAGCACTATATTTGATCACGCTGATCCTCACAAACCTATAAAATAGATAATCTTTCTTTTAAATCTGCATTTCACAAATTGTAGCTGAGAATTAAGTAATTCTGTGAATTTGATCTGATCACTTAACTTCTCAAAACGAAAAATAGTGGAGTCGGGATTCAAACCCAGGCAGTCTGATGACAGAGCTCATAATTAAAACTAAAATCCTATTTTTGCTGAGCAAAAGAGACAGAGGGCAGGTTTATCAGCCCTCCACCCAGTGCCTTACCTCCTAACTGTACCATGCCCGTATGCACTTAAATCCCTGGCCCTGAGGGTCAATTCACAGACATTTTGCACATGTTAAGATTTTTATTGGCTTGGCTCTAAAGCAACAAAGACTGCCTCAATGACAACGGGACGGGTACAAAACCGAGAATTCAAACTGAAATCTCTCTATCAGGCTTTAAATTAAAATGGAAATTTATAAACAAATTATTCCCAAATAATCTCAGTCTCCCGTGTTAGTTACCCCATTTAAAAACCCAATAGAAGAATATCTTTAAATACTAACTTAAACTCAATGAAAAGATCAACAGTTTTCTGATACTTACTCTATCCAAAGGGCCCCTGATATGCACTGTTAAGTTGAATAGCCACACATGGCCAAGGATAAATTATTCCTTGCTCAGGTATACTTTGAACAAGTATATAAACAGAAAAATAACACTACCAGTCAGAACAAATAGAACAGGCATTACCATTATTATTATTTCTATAATACCCCATTTTATTATATATGTACATCTATATACACACACATACATATACATGGATATGTATATATATGTATGTACACTCGTATATATAGTAAATAGATTGTACACTAGACCCTGCCAGACAAGCAAAGAACGAAGAAAATGAGAAATCGTACCAGCAAGTAGATAATGCGTACCATCTGACAAACTCTCAAAAACAGGGCGTGGAGGAGTCAAGGAAAGAAGGGCCAAACTAAATAGGATGACAAGTGTGTCTCCTTTTAGGGCTCTGAAAAGATAGGCTTTGAGATGTTTTCCAAAAACAAACTCAAGCTGCATTGAGTATTAATTGCTCTGCAATTTGAAATAAATTTTGACTGAAATGGTTCTACTTAAAAACTCCAAATTTTGGCAATATTTCAACATATTTTAAGTGCCAGTAGTACTGCTAAATATGATCCAATACACTACAGAAAAATCCACATGTGGAATAAATACACAGCTATTATGCAGCTGAAATATGCAGCTATCTTCATGAGGTCATTATCCAAGTTTACAAACCCCACTTAAATATGTAAGAAATTTTCAGAACATATCAGCTGGCAATTATGCAACCACGTGGCAAATAATATGCTCATTTCCATGGCATGTCATTGTAACCTGGCATCCAGCTCAAGGAACCGGTCACCTACTGGATGCCCTGCCACTGAATCCGATGGCAATGCCATCAAAACTAAGAGAAGTTAAAGGAAGTCCCTCGCCACTATGTTGGGTAGAAAAAAAAATATTTTTGACATCAATTTAAGACATTTTAGCAACAAAATATCAATGTTATTGAGGCCTCAGGTTTTAACAGTGCCACTTCTTAATTAATAAATGGAGATCTCCCCCCCCAAAGTTATCATCAAGTAAATGCTCATAAGTAAAGAATTCAGATTAAAAATAGCAACTGTTTAGTTGACCCTCTGGCAATTGAAAAATCACTGTGCAGTTTTTTTTGTTTGTTTGTTTTACTCCTTTAAACTATCTTCAGTGAGTTCACTAGTAAATCACTCATGATTTTCATCATGAAAATAAATTACAACTAACTGCAAAGGTAATGTCAAAATGAAGAATATCCTCCACACTGACCCCACTGACTCAATTCAAGAGGTATTATTGGAGGCCTACTTTCTAAACAGGCTTCAGATTTTCATACCAGATTCTAAACATGCTGAAATTTTAACACATCTTAGTCCTTTTTCAAGTAGCTGTTTTTAATTGGCTTTTTAAATGCCTTTCAAATAAATGACAATCCAAGATGCTTTCATTCTCTTTTTCATTCTTGGAATTTTAAGGTATAATATCAGAATATAAAATAAGATTATGGTTTGTATTCACATACTTGCTCCTAGAAACAGAGTCCCCATCATACTGCCACAAAATCCAATGCTTTTTGATGTTACAGACATCTTTAATAGGTAATGCATTAACTAGAAATTACCATGTAACAGACTAGAGAATATTAAATGTGTGTCTTCCCAGAAGAACTCTCAATAGAAAATTTGGTAGCTAAAAGAAAAAGGAAGATGAAACGGAAATGCTGCAAATGTATACTTGATTACCTTAGTAATGTACAACACAATGACTAAATCCTGGGAACAGCTTTTCATAACTAAATAATGCCTAAGTCATCTAGTACCTAAGAAAACAGTAAATGGAAACCTTAACATTCAGAAAAAGCAAATTTTGTATGATCTGTGACAAGCAAACCATAAGCAGCAAAAACACTTAATAACAGCAATAGTATTATTGCTACAATATTAGTAATGTTTACATCCCTAGCCAAAATAGAGATCATTCCTTACTGGATTTCTTTCCAGGTTTCCAAAAGAAAGGGTGTACATTATCACAGATAGGTACTTTAAGTCTCTATACAGTTTTTCCCCCTACCCAAATAAATACAAAAATGTCAGCCATCTGGCAACCCAATTATCAAAGAAAAGCTGCAATGGAGAATTTTAAAAAGAACAAAAGGGTCACACTCACGTGTCTCTTGAAATCACACTGTTTTACTACTAGGTTCAAATTTAATACAATCACTCCCATGTCATCTTCTAAACTGTTTGGATCTTCCAATTTTAAAATATGTTCAGTCGTCCTATAAGCAAAAAGCAACAAATGATGGTAGCACTTATTGGTAGTACTTTATAGCCTAAGAATACATCAGGAGCTTATGATAAAAATCTCCTATCCCTGAACAGGGGTGAGACACAAGTTAAAAAAAGCACCAGATTCAGTGAAAATAAACCAACCATCTTCAGGGGTAGAGAAACTGTTTGGCATCGCCTAATTCAACAGTTGGTCAACTGATTCTTCTCCCCTACTGCCCAAAGAAAATGTAAATACTTGTTTTAATTTTAAGGTAAGTAGGTTAATGAACACGAAAGTACAAAATTCAATACACCATTTAGGTTATGTTATAGAAGATGTAATATCTGACCAATATATATTTGGGAGCTAAAAAGCAAAAATTATAGAAAAACTCACATTTTAAAGCACTCTTTCATTTATTCTGATTTTGACATGTGATTATCTTGAGTTCCCTCTAAAATTCACTAATAACAACTAGATGGTAAAATTACAATACCTGTTAAGCTCAAGATCACTCAGAACGACAAATGCAGAACCCATGAAATCAGATGTAGTTAAATCTCGATCATACACCTACAAAGAAGAAGGGGGCCAGTAACACACATTAATATGGCAAACCAACTGAGTATATCAAAGTATGGATAAATGCAATAGGCTGGGAATTTTGAATTAAGTCTTCTAGATCTAAAAATAATTTGCACAGTATAAAGAAGAATTTAACCAAGCTGATGGGGAGAACAAAATTATTCAAACCTGTGCATTTTGCTTACTATGGCCAAAATAACAGAAAATACTTTTAAGGCAGTATTCATATGCATTAAGATATTATGCACAATGGACCACTCTCTGTAGTTTAAATGGTCTCATTAAAATTTACTGTTTTCCGCAGTGAGCAAATCTGCCAATTAAATAGAAATTTGCTAAATATTCTATAGCAATCCCATCCTGCACTCAACTCATGCAGTTTTAACCCAGATGTTAGAGCAATTGATGCTTACAACCGGTAGCTTAAAGCTCTCTGAGAAAGGCTTTAGTACTTGTCACCACTGCACTGGCAGTAATATTTCTTCCACATTCAGTAAGTTTAAATACAATCAATGGAGATATTATTTTCACTCTGCTAGATCTAAGAGTAACATACAGTTTGACCAAGGGTATAAAGAATCCCTTCCATACTTATATTTTTAAGCCAGTGATTAGGAATGATACAAGAATGAATTTGGGGAAGTTGACTTTTAAGAGGGTGAAGATGGCTGAGAAATAAATGTTTTTAATAAAAGAGCAGATTTGAAAGTCATCTGGGATTACCTTCACACGCAGCTTTTGATCAAGGCTTTGTATTGGCAATAAGACTACTTCGTCCCAAACTGGGTTCAAGTTCTTATATATGACTTTACTTTTGTACAGAGTCTTCCCATTCAGCTTAAATTTCACATAGGGATCACTCGTGCCTTTAAATGAAAAAGAGAGCAAGACAGGTTTTTAAAATACACGTAAAAAGCCTAGGATCTCCATTAAATAACGATTCTTTCCACGCTCTCCAGGCTCAAAGCACTTCACTGAGCACACCCAGAACAAATGTCTCCCTGCACAGAGACTGAAGGCCCCAGAGGTGGAGAGGGGAGAGAAGTGAAACAATCTGGGGTAAATGACTGATTCTTCTTTGCCTTTCCTGGTAGAATATAAATGGGCTCCTTGAGCTTTTTCTGTTTGGTTTCATTGTGGGTATGTCATCACTCTCCTACCCACAAAAAATTCAAGAAATAAAATCCACCAGCACCAGCCACGCATCTCAGGAGTCCTGGGGAGAAGCCCACTCCTCCTAAGAATGGCAGTGAGTCAGTGAAAATGGAAAGAAACCATTTTCAAACATTTGGCCAGATGGCTGACTCAACAGAACCCTGTACTTTATAATATAATCATAATAAATCAATCAATCCCTGGAACCACCGACTCAGAAGCCTGGGGACTCGGACCCCAGAACCAGGGGTGTAGAGATTAAACTGACAAAGTTGCCATTCTTTGCCCCACCCTCCGCACCTGCGGTAGAGAACATTGTCTCCCCCTGGAGAGCTGAACGCCCCTCAACAAGGCCCTCCAACCCGCTGGCCTCGGGCCAACACCCTTGACCTGCTGCCTCTTCCCAGGAAGCTTTGAAAAGGAAAGAATAATGTCCCGCTATAGCCACTATGTCCAAAGCAGAAAGAAGGGCCGATGATGGACCCTTCTCCACATTTTTCAGATCAGTTGAGGAAAAAAACATGCCCACAAACATAATACCAGGATTAATGTGTTGTGCAAGTGTGCCATCATACTCGGGACACAGAACAGTGACTGGGACATACTTGCACATTACTACCTAGTGAAGGATGAATAAAGGAGGCACAAATAAATGAATAATCCACGAGGGCATGAATGAAGGCTAGCCGATAATGCTACAAAGAAAGGAAAAAAATCTAATTTGGGGAGGTATGCTGGTATAATTCATCGTGAACCAGACTCTGAATAAGTGCTCAAAGACCAACAGTCTTGTTCACTGACACATTCCAGGTGCCTTGGACAATGCCCAACAGAGGCCTCCACAGATTTACTGACATGAGTTCTTGATATTAAAGTCAAGCCAATGTAGTCTAAGAATATTACATCAAAAATTAATTAGGCTACTCTGTCACAAACATTTCCAACTCGTTAATACCCACCATGAATTATTTCAATCATTTTTTTTTTCAGCTCTTTCTGAGGTTTCTGCAGGACGGAAAACTCCTGAACATGAATGCAATTCTTATACTAACTATTCTAACTGGGAGTCACATCACTTGGGGGCAAGATAATACACATTGGCTAAAAGTCTTAACAGAGTAACCAAGGTATCATTTGGATAATTCAGCCATTCCAGTATGGCAAGGCTGCTAACTTTAAAACAAAGAAATCAAGTTACAAATATACACATATACATATTCGACACTCACGTTTTAAGTTTGGCAACAAAGGGGCAGAAACCCAGCAGTCTATACTTTAAACCTGGACACACACGTACTCGCACACACTTCAGCAGCAATTCTGAGCAGGACAGTAAAAATGAAGGCATTCCCAGCCATTCAGTGGAACAGTCACTAGTGAGTCAGTAATCTGTCCACACCCCCTCTTTGAGAGTACAAGAGAACACCTGCGGCAAGTCAGATTTTAACAGTCATTCTGATATATATAGATAAAAAAAAAAAAAGTGGGGGGAAAACTCTAATAAAAAGGGGCCTTTAATTAAATGAAATTGCCACTCTGGGATCAGGCCTTCATGCTTGTCAGCGTGCTCTCAAAATAAACATCTCAAAACCAGGCCTCGGTGGTGTCACTTTCTCACAGGCAAAGCATACTGGGTAATCCCCAGGCATCTTGACAGCTACATAATGTTCAAACTGTTTCACGGGTGAATGGCAGCAGTTGCGAGAAAGAAAATATTAATGTCTGGAATTAATAGAAAAAGGGACCAGGGTTTACAAAGCCAAACAAGGAACCAGGGTGTCAAGTGAGCACAGCATTAATTGTTAGGGAAAATTTGAGAAGGGGGGGCAGGGGGCACGTAGTGATTTTTTTCTCTCTGAGCCTAAGTGCCTCACTGTCAGGCAAGTGACATCTTAACTAGGCAGGTTCTGAAAAGGGGTCGCGGCTCAGGAATGCAACGCCCAGATTACACAAATGATGAGATGACACCTGAATGGGTGGACTTTAACCCTTTTTTCACAGGGCGCTTCATAAACAATGAGGCTCCTTGGAATAAAGAGGTAGTGTGGAACTTTGGGAGGAGAATGAAACCAGGAGGCCGGAGACGGTGCCTCCCTCCTGGGGTCGCCACCCGTCCTGCCATGTGGTCTCAACAGAGTCACGGAGCCTCAAATTTAGAATATGTAGCCATCACACATCCAGAGCCGGAGCTTTCTGCTCCCGTGCAAAAGGTACTGTGGTTCTGTGTGTGCTGAGACAGACTGACAGCCACGCACTGGTCCTCCAGAAATGCTGTGCCAGTTCACACTCCCGACAACGCGGGACAGTCCTTATTTCTGCACACGATGCTATGGATGGTCATGCCTCCCTTGACCCTGTACCTGTCAGGCCTGCTAACATCACTCACATGCCACAAACACAGGTTGCCTCAGAGCATGGCTCAGTGTTACTGAGTACTAAGGGGGATGGCAAAGGAAGATCCACCCCAGAGCCTTTTCTTCTGTACCTGGCGGGCAGCAGGCAGATGGTATATATAACCCAAGGTCCAAGAGATAAGTGTCAAAATAGAATAGAACTTGGGGGGTATGCTAGTTCACAGGCGGGAAAGGTTAGCTCCAGCTGGGGTATCAGTGGAGGCTGAAATAAAGGAGATGGGAATTGAAACATGGGCGGATCTGGCCAAGCGGAAAAGGACTGAGGCCATGTGGGCTGGAGGAACCGGCACTGAAAGGGGAAAGAGGCCAAAATGACTAGATCTGTGCGGTGCCAAGCAAGCATTTCAATTCATCCAGAAATTAAGGGGATAAAATGTATAATGAGAAAGTTATTTTTGAGTCAGACTGGTTTTGAGTCAGACTGAAGTGCCTTAAAAGTCACAAAATAAGGAGTTAAGTTTTTGTTCTGTAAGAAATATAGGGTAGTTTTGGTTTTCCTGTTCTCTTTTTTTTAATTTTTTAACAAGTGTAATACATGCTCATGATGCTGAAAGGTATGAAATGAAAACTCTCCACCCTCTTAATCTTTCCTCATTCCCATTCCTCATATGCACCAGTTTCTTGAGTGTCTTACAGGAAAAACTACAAGAATTGTTTTTAACTCGAATGTAATCATAATAAATGCACTGGACTCTGTGCTTTCACAACTAAAGTACCTTGAAGCTCTGTTCACATCAGCAATACAGATTCACCAGTTTTTATTTTTCTTTTATCAACTGCATACATTTTCATTGTGTTCTTGTATCTTAATTTATGTAACTAGTTACCAAATAATAAACATTTACATCACTTCCAATTTTTTTTTTTTTTTTTACTAGCACAAACAATACTACAACAAGCACCCTTGTATGACTATCTCTGAGTTTATATGTGATTATATTCAGAACGAACAGCAGGGCTTCCCTGGTGGCGCAGTGGTTGGGGGTCCGCCTGCCAGTGCGGGGGACATGAGTTTGGGCCCTGGTCAGGGGAGATCCCACATGCCACATAGCGGCTGGACCCGTGTGCCATGGCTGCTGAGACTGCTCTCTAGAGCCCGTGTGCCACAACTACTGAGCCCACGTGCCACAGCTGCTGAAGCCCATGCACCTTGAGCCTGTGCTCCGCAGCGAGAGAGGCCACCGCGATGAGAGGCCCGCATACCGTGGCGGGGGTTGGCCCCCTCTCGCCAGGGCTGGAGAGGGCCCGTGCAGCGGCGGAGACCCAATACAGCCAAAAATAAATAAATAAAATAAATAAATTTATTAAAAAAAAAAACTGCAGGGCAAATGAATGTGTCTTTTCTGGTTCTGACAGCCATTGTCAAATTGTTCTTCCAAAGTCTGTCAAAATTTACACTTCCACCAAGAGTATACGTTTTGTATTTTTTTTCTTTACATGCTCACCAATATTTGATGTCATAAATCTTTACTTTGAAAAACTGGCAGGTAAAAAAAATAGTATCTCCATTTTTCTCTATCATTAACATTTAGAGTAAAGCTTAGGATCTTTCATATTTTAGTGACCTACATTTGTCTTTCTTTGTCAGGGAAATTCTCACTGATATCATTTACCCATTTTTCTATGGGCTCAAGGTTTTGTCTTTTGCTTATGGATTTGAATGAGCCCTTAATTATGGAAAGCAGCCATTGGCTGTAAATCTTGTCATACTTTGTTTAGACTTACCTTACTTCTTGCAATAAGTTATTTCCATTTTTATTTAGGCAAATTAACCAGTTTTATTTATGGCACTGTCGCTTAACATTCTACTTAGAAGAATTGTTCTCACTAAAGGATTTTCAGTTAGTTCAGCCATGTTTCTTTCCACTGATTTTGCAGCTTTTCGTTTTTTACACTTAAGTCTTTGGTCCATCTGGAATTATTTTAGTGTGAGAGGGAAGGAAATTCAGGTTTACTTATGAGTAGGAGAGTAAAATGATCAGAGCCATGCTTCAGAAATATAAATCTGGCAGCAGCTTATAATTTAGAAGGAAGAAGAAAAAGGCTAAAGCGAAGAAACCTGGTAGTTGAGATAACACAGCACCGGGGAGTTGAGGAGACAGCTATACCCAAACTATAAGAAGCACCGATCCAGGGTTTCACAAAGCATGATCCATGGAACACTCATACCTCAAGGTGCTCCACGGACTGAAAGGGTTATGTCATCCAAACCACTGGGAAAAGCTGTTTACTCTTTCCTTACTTGGAACCTCCCTATGTAGAGTAAAATATTAAACACTGCTAAGAACTGTATTAAT